ACAGCTCCTTGAAGGGCCCCCACAGCCTGGTGTCCAGGCTTACCATTGCGTTAAAGACTCCTTCCTTGTAGGAGAGGAAGGTGAGCTTGTAGTCTTTCTTGGCAGAGCCTGGCACATCAATGTATTCCAGCCCCCGCAGCACAGAACTGCTTTCCAGGTTTTCCGGTTTGAGTACGTCCATGACCACAAGGAACCTGCGGGTGAGAAGGATGCAGTGAAGGTCAATGGGAAGGACTCCTGTTGTGTGTGTGGGTACACCGCCCTTCTCATCCCCAATGCCTCCAGGAGCCAGCTCTTATCCACCTTGGAGGAAAGCCCTCCAGGATGGGTCTGCATAGGCAGAACGTGGGCCAGAAATGGCCAAAGGAGAGTGTCAAGCTTGCAGGAAGGAGATTCCAGGCAGTGGGAAGCCCTTCCTTGTGTTGCTGTAGGGAGTGCTGATGGGACGAGGCCTCCTGGGCCAGACTCACCTCTGCGGTCTGTTCAGCCAGTTGGAGACGGGGATGAGCTCAGTGTAGGAAGTCCTACATGGTACCTGCCGGAAAATGGTCCCCGAACACTTTGGGGCCTCAGCAGCCCCTTGCAGGAGGTAGTACAAGCCTGTCCCATCCGGCAATGGGAAGAAGATGGAGCCCTGGAAGAAAAGTCATAGGATAAGTGAGCTCTCCTGCTCTCTGCCTGGTCCAGTGTCCTGGTTTCAGCTTGGATAGAGTTAATTTTCTTCCTAGTAGCTGGTATAGTGCTATGTTTTTGATTTAGTATGAGAAGAACTCATTGATGGTTCAGTTGTTGCTAAGTAGTGCTTAGACCAGGCAAGGGCTTCTCAGCTCTCAGCTCTGCCTGGTGCACAAGGAGCTGGGAGGGGGCACAGCTGGGAGAGCCGCCCCCAACTGGCCACAGAGCTATTCCAGACCATATGGCATCATGCTCAGTATAGAAACGGGGAAGGAGGAGGCGGGGGGGATGTTCAGAGCGATGGCGTTTGTCTTTGGGAATGAATTCCTTGTTTTGCTTTGCTTGCATGTGCAGCTTTTGCTTTAGCCATTAAACTTCCTTTATCTCAGTCCATGAGTTTTCTTGCTTTTACCCTTCTGATTCTCTCCCTCGTCCCATTGGGGGGGGGGCTGTGAACAAGCGGCTGGGTGATGCTGAGTTGTTGGCTGGGGTTAAACCACAACATCCAGTTCCTGGCTCTTGAGCACGCCTGGACACTCCCATGTCTCAGGCTGTCATATGAGCAGCTTTGAGCAGGTCCAGCTTGCAGAGCTGTGACTGCAGCCCTGCATCCTTGCACAGGTGGAGGTGGCAATGTTGTACCTGCTCGGGCTGGCACAGCCATGGGACACAGAGGCAGCACGCCTGGGCAAAGCAAGGAACCACGAGCCCTACAGCAGAGCTGGTCTGACCACTCTAACACTCCTTTACTTGGCTTCCTGTCTCAGGCACATCAGTGCCAGCCCCGTGCTCGTGCAGGGACGGCCATGGTAAAGGAGGTGGCTGTCCCTGCTAAGCCCTGGCAGTGCTCCAGCGTGATTGCCAAGAGAGCAGCCTGTAAGCTAACAACGGCAGGGTCCCACCAGCCAGGGTGGGCCACGAAAAGCTCATATCTAGCACTCATTTCGGGTGCCAATGGGTCACAGCCACCTGCCTGTGGCAACACCCCTGCCTCCAGAGCAGCTAAAAACTGCAGGGCTCTTCATGCAAGGCTGCACAATAAAGAGATACTGAGCATATGCAACCCTTCGGGGCACAGATCTCTGAACCCTGGAGATTGAGCCCAAAAGTCTCTGTCCTCCACTCTTGCTCTGGCCTAAATTCTGGTGTGGTGTAAGATGAGCTGGAGGGGGACAAGGGGCAGGTGTCTGACACCCACCTCCAGCACCCCAGAGCTCTTCTGAACTGACCCCCACGATTTAAGAGGTTGTTCCTGGTGTGTCTCAGAAACAGTCACCCCACCTCCCCAGCCTGGGACCCGCAGGAGGGGTTCTTCCCAAAGCTCCTGCGCTACCAGAGGCGATGTCAGGAGAGATCTCTGCATCGTTTCCCACCTGACTGCTCATGGCTGGAGGGGGGGCACTGGGAAACGGCAGGGCAGCTTCGCCCCTCTTGTTCCCCGCACACTGCAAAAGGACCCCAGCAGGGCAGTGCTGGCAGAAGTGGTCGTGCCCAGGGCGTGGGGAGCCTGTGCAGCCCACAGGGCTGAGCATGGGGGTCTCTGAGCCCCTCTGGGCTGTGCACGGCCAGGGACCAGGACCTGCAAAGAACAAAGTTCATCTCCTGGGTCTTCAGACAACCTGTTTTTTTAGGTTAACTGCTCCAATATAGTTAGTGGTCAGCCCAGACTTCCCACCTGAACTTTCCTTACACCTGGCCTCCAGCCACCAAGAAATCCAGCTTCCGACATAGGATCATAGGATAATTTCAGTTCACAGGGGACTTCTGAAGGTCATCTCGTCCAACCTCCTGCCCAAAGCTAGGTGAGCTGTGAGGGTCACACTGTGAGGGTCAGCATGCTGGCACAGCTCGCGTACCTGATGCTTCTTGTTCTCAGAGGTCATGGTTAGGGGTTTGTAGGTGATCTTGTACGGCTTGTTTTGTTGATGGGCCTCTAGATGGAAAAATTCAGGCCCTTTCCAGTGTTCGCCCTCAATAACAGGTTGCACGGTCCAGGCCTCATTGCTTGGGTTGGACAGGAGGATGGTCTGGCTGTGCTTCTCACGCACGTCGCACGTGAAAGTCAGTGCCTGCAACAGAGGAGCACAGAGGCTACTTGGTCGTACCGAGGAACCCTTTCTGCTCAGACTCTGACTAGCTCTATGCGCAGGGAGCAGCTTTTCCTCATCATAAGCAAAATTTCCATTTGAGCCGTAGCTTTTGGTGTAAATCACGTTGCCGGCTCTTAGAGAAGGGAGAGGAATGAGCCCTTTGCGTGCTGGGGGAAGGAGGCTGCCACCTCCCGAGGAGGGGAGAATGATAATGGGCAGTCCTGAAAGGGTCTCTCTCTTGTGCATGGACAAGACCTGTAGCTGTACAGCCCCGTCATGGGCAGGCTGAAGAGCAGCTCTGGGCTCTCTTTTGGGAGCAAGAGCCAACACCCCCCCAGGCTGCACCCTCCTGTGACACCCATGAGGGCCCAGAGACCTCCCCTGTGCCCCAAGAGCTGGAGGCGGATGCCTTGCCCACTCCAAGCGTTGAATGCTCTCCCCTGCCCCAACAGGGAGGAAAAGCTTGGCTGCGGGTGCAATATTGGGGGTATAGCTGGGCGGCTCTGTGGGAAGGGTCTTGGAAGGGCCCTGCAGGGTGTCCCCACAGCAAGGGTGTTGTACTGCAGAGGCAGGACAGCCAGGGTGCTCACTGGAGGAGCAGTGCCTTTAAAAACAGGGGAGGAAGGCAATTACAGGGCTCAGAAATTTGGGGAATTCTGCCCAAGGGTCTTCTCAGCTCTCTGGGATACCCAGGCAGGATGATAGGCAGGAGCGGGTCCATGCATGTAAACACCCTCCAGCCCCTGCCCTGGGAGGGATGTGGTGCAAATGGGGTAAGGGATGGACCCACCCTGTCTCTGCTCTGGTTACCTCTTTGGTCACTGGGGTTTCCATGCAGCATCCTGCCAGTGTAAGCCGGAGTGGCTCACTGCCCGGGATGAAGCACTGCAGGCCCTCATACTGGATAGTGTGGCTCAGCTTAGAGGGGTGGAAGGTGACGACGAAGGGGACATCCATTCCTGGGGAGATGTAACCCTTTGTGGGGCTGATGGAGAAATCCGGCTTGAAGCTCTCAATGTCCCACTTAAACCTTGCCAAGGAAAGCACAAGGACAGGAAGGAAGGATTAGCAACCGGGAGGCTGGGAATGGTTTCTAAGCCTCTTTGTGGGCTTCTCCATGGGATCTCAGGTGTGATGCTGAGCCACCTGGCAATAAGGCTTCAGGTTGGGCAGGACTCAGCTGCACTCATCTATAAACAAGCTTTTGGTCATATCCCTTGCTAATTTCCAGGGCCTGAGTGGACAGCCTTGGCTGTACAACTCTCCACTGGGATGGAAAAGCAAAGGGGAACTTATCTGGGCAAGCTACAACTCCATCCAACCCCCATCCAAGCTCTCAGCTCACAGAGAGGACAAGGTTTTGCATTACTTGACTCCTACGTCGCCCGTGTTCTGCATGACGATGCGCTGGGATGTGTAGCTCTGCCGCACCACTGCTCCAAAGCTGAGGTGTTCCTGGTCCAAGCTCACATGGATACCCTGGCAGGAGCCCCGCACTATGAAGAGGGAGCGCACCAGGCCATTGCACTCCAACATCACTTCTTCAGTGAACGGCTGGATGCGGCACTTTGGGGAGAAAGTCACCTCCACTTTACAGGTATCTCCTTTGGGCTTCAGACTTAGTTCATTGGTGGGGTTCAAGCAGAGAACCTGCCCAAAGAAACGAGTAGAGACAACTTCATCTGGCAACTGAGCTGTGAGTCCTCTGTACAGTCTTCCAACTCCTGTTCTGTCCCCATCAACACCGCCCCAATCCTACTCATTCCCTGGAATGCATCCCTAGCTACCAAAGGTATTTTCCTGGGACGTGGCCATCCAGCCATGGTAAGCTGGACTACATCTTCCAAAGTAATTTCATGTGAGCTCCCAGAGAGCTGTAACTCTTAGTCTTTAAAGATTACCTTTCCATGTGTAATATACATGGCCGCATCCTAACATGTGTCTAACACAGGTGAGAGGAATTGTCCCTTCTTCTCATTTCTGGCTATTCAGGGAGTCCTGACACCTAGCTCAGATGTGGCATTCACATTGCAAGTATCTCCTGGTAAAGCCGTCCCAGCACAGAGGACAGGACAGTAAACAGGCAGCCAGGACAGCGTGCAATTGTAATTAGCTCCTAGCTCCTCCCCAGAGCAGCTCACAGCTACCTGCAGGCATCCCTGCAGGCACACCAAAGTGCTCTCCAGTGAAGGAAGGGGCCTTACCCCAGCTTCTTGCAGCTCTGGCGTGGTGGAAGTGAGACTGAGCTTAAAAGTGAGAGGGGCAGCACTGTTGTTTGCTATGGTGACTATCTTCTTCACTGTCTGGCTGATGGAGAGGGCTCCCAGCTTCAGCACCTTTCCTTGCGGTTCCACAACATCAACCTGAGGCAGGAGGGATTAACAGAAAGTGAAAGGAAAGGAGAAAAGGTTTCCTGCCACCCTCATGGCAGAAAACTAAAATACGGTAGGCTGGGGAAGAGATGAGGAAAATGAGAAAGCCACGTCAGCTGTCTGCCACCTGGGGTTTTAGCATTTGGATTTCATCTCACCTTCATTTCTGTGCCCCTTCCTCGGACCTCAACAGTCTGCTGGCACAGACCATTGATTTCAAAAGGGATGAGCTCGTGGTAAGATGCAACCTCTCTGGGATAGAAAGTGATGGGCACCTCCACGGTCCCTCCTGGGCATAGGACGTACCCCGGGAAGTCCACCTCCAGGTGTGCGGTGCTGGCGAACAAGCAGTTCAAGCTGGCAGAAGCATAGCAAAGAGGAGCAGAGGCATCACAAGGCTGTGCATGCTGAGACGACAACATCAGGGCTACTTAGGGCTCTCCTGTCTCCTCTCCCCGCATCCTCAGAACTTCACCCATAGGGGTCGCAAGGACATGGAGCAGGGACGTGCTAAGCAAGGACCGAAGGAGCCTGTGGAGAAGGCCTACCTGATATCCCTGTCTGCCTTGTTTGTGATGACAAGGGTTTGACGGGCAGGTGGCATCCCAGCATGGTAGAGGAAGCAGGCTCCAAAGTTGATTCTGGTGGTGGAGAAGTGGACGGTGGGCACTACCATGGTGACACGAAACATGCAGGTAAACGTGGGACCCTTGCTGATCTGGTGAGGAGAGAGACAGCGTGAGCCAGCTGAAGAGATGGGAGCTACAACCACAAACACCAAGAGAGAGCTGAGGAAGAGGATGGGGAACAGCTGTCTGCAGCGACAACAAGGAAAAGCAAGTGCCAAAGGACCCCAGAATGGAAACAGGAGGTGAGAGGCTTGGGCCGAGATCAGAAAGGGTTTGGGGAGAGTTGTAGCCCTGCTTTGTGCAGCCACGTGCTGAGCAGCGTGGCCACACGCTGACAGGACCTTTCTGAGCTGTGGGACCAGACTCAGCAGGGGCTCCATCTCCATGTACATCTAGGATCACCCCCAAATTAGGGCCTGGAGGATATGTCCTGCCACAAAAGCGCTTCCCAGAGTGGTCCTGGACAAGCACTTATTAAAATATTCTGTTCAGAAGCTGTCAGGCTCGCTATTTTGGCAGCAGGAGCCTCTTTGCCCCGTTCAGGCTCATTAGTGATGGAGCTCACCCCCACCTCTGGGCTCCTGCTGCCAAGCTGCTGAGTAGGGAAGGCAAAGGTATTAAATGCCGGTGCCTCACCTGCAGCGTCAGCTCTACATCCTTCAAAGAGCACATCTTCTGAGGGTGAAAAGCCAGCTGGGTCTCTGCTTTCCCCTCCGCCCGCACGGAGCCTGTCCGAGGGGTGATGGTAAGGACCTGCTTAAGAGCAGCGGGACCACTCAGTTCCCACGAGAAGGTGAAGCTGAACTTGCCGTTATTGCGGATGCTGAAGATGCGCTTGATGTTCTCGTTTAGCTGTACCTGTGGGGAGAAGGCGGCGAGGACAAGGGCTTGGAGCACATGCAAAGTGTCAGCTGGCCCAGCCAGCGCTCCTTCCTGATGTGCTCCTGCATCTTGCATATTCAGCCAATGACCTGGGCAAAAGATCAAGCTTCCTCCCTCTAGAGACCCCAAAATAAAGAAAAACATTCCCTCTGGTTCAAATGTACCTGCAAAGCTCCTTGTTAAGGCCCAAGCTCGCAGGGCTTTGTGGAGCGAATGGTTCAAGGAACTGCTCACCTCCTTGAAATCAATGACATTGATCTCCTGCGCACTGAGCTCAATGACACGGTTGTCGCTGTCCTCACACCTGACAGACACGTTCATGCTATAGCCAGTGGCCTTGATATTCAAGGAGAGGGGCTGGGTCTTCCTCTTGACATCGCACTTGAGGTTGACAACTGCCTCTCCTTCTAGTATTGGCATGAAGTAGACCGTAACGGGAAACCTGAGAAGACAAGACAAGACCCTTTTTGCTCCGTTTGCTGCCTCTTAGCTTTCTTGGCCCCACATTGCCTGCTCTGCAGCAGAGTAGCTGTGCAATGGCTGTGGCAAGACCCTGGGCCTGGGAGAAACCAGGAGCAGCACTCTGCCCTTCCAGGGCTTTCCACTATGGAGCAAGTCCTGGTGAGAACTCCTTAGGGTATGATGATCCCATGCAATGGAACGGCAGAGGATACAAGAAGAAGGCAGCAAACAAACCCTGAGCTAACGCTGATCCTACTGCCCTGCCCATGCGTTACAGGGCAGCATTGGGTTGAGACCCCTCTTCTGTCCCAAACACGGCAGAGGGCACTCATAGAGCCCCCCAGTCTCTCTGATCTATATGACAAGGGGAACATCCTCTTTGCAAAGAGGAATCATCCAGCTCCCATGACAGCGGTACAATGTGGGTGCCACCAAACTGCCCCTTTCTAACTGTTGTGGGCAATTTCTGGGTACGTGATCAAACATGACCAAGTGACAGAGATTTAAGGAATTACCACTTCTCAGGTGAGCCACAGTGACTGATATAGGATGCTCTCTTTATCTTGTGCCCCATGGCAAGCCAAAATTTAGCATCTTTTAAGCCACAGCAAAGCTTCCCGGAGCTAACGCCGCTCTCCTTACACCCGGTGGATCGGCAGATGAGCTAGTGACCTGTTAATACTGCTTGAACTCATGGATCATGTCTGATCGCAAGTCACAGCTGCAGTTTACAAGAAAAGAGCATCCATTTTCTGACAGGTGACCCTGCAAAATGCAGCTGCTTGTGCAAGCCCGTTGCTGTCCTCCGTGGTGGGCTTAAATGCAGCCTGCAGCGCCGCTGGTGCGCTTTGCTGCTCTTGGTGGCTTTGGACAGACTGTGCATGGTGGGCTCTGCCACTAAAGGAACACAGGGAAGAGAGGAGACCTTGTCTACTTAAGGCTGCTGGCTCAGGGGATCACAGGGTTAAAGCCCTCAGACACGCTTTTGTCATCAAAATTAGAAGATCCAAAGCCTGAATTTCTCCAGGAAGGGAGCTTAGAAGACCAGAGTGATCCCAACACAGCCACTTTATGGAGAAACATGCAGTTTCATGGCGTCCCCATTGGGAAGGGGCAAACCAAGGCAGATGTACGCTATTGCTCAGAGTCGCCTGGTGACTGCGGAGGGGAGACAGCCTCAAAAGCAGAACAACAGCGCAATGTTTGGCACGCAGGAGGGGGATCCTGGCCTGCGAGCCCTGTTACCTTGAAAGAGGAGCAATGGAGCCTTTCAGGGGCTCTATTTTCACGGAGGCATTGCACCCCTCTGAGAAGAGGGAGCTTTCTCTGAAAGCAAAGCTGAAGGCTTCTTTCTCACTGTTGATCATATAGACAGTCTGGTGTACTTCATGCCCTGGAGAGAGGACAAAGCAGCCGCTGAAAACCTTTTGTTCCTCTGGCCACCAGGCCACCACTGCCCACTGCACTCCTGCTTGTGGGTTGAGCCCAGCAGGCAGTTTGCAGCAAGGACCATTGCCTGCAGCACAGCATACTCAGAATGCCACCATGGGAAACATGTTTCTGACCCCTTGGGCTCCCCTGCATCACCCCCAAATCCCCTTTTGGAAACAGCCTCAACCACATGCCACAACCCTGACACAGGCCTTCCTCCTGTCCCCTTCCTCTCCCTCATACACTTGGTGGCAGGAGCTGGATGGTCATAGAACCATAGAATAGTTTAGGTTGGAAAAGACCTTTAAGATCCCCAAGCCCAACCATTCCACTAACCCTGCCAGCCCACCACTAAACCCTGGCCCTAAGCACCTCATCTGCCCGGCTTTTAAATACCCCCAGGGATGGGGACTCAACCCCTTCCCTAGGCAGCCCCTTCCAGCGCCTGACAGCCCTTGCGGGGAAGGAATTTTTCCCCATGTCCAACCTAAACCTGCCCTGGCACAACTTGAGGCTGTTTCCCCTCGTCCCATCACTCGTTCCCTGGGAGCAGAGCCCAACACCCCCAGCTCCCCCCTCCTGTCAGGCAGTTGTAGGCAGCGATAAGGTCTCCCCTCAGCCTCCTCTTCTCCAGGCTCAACACCCCCAGCTCCCCCAGACGCTCCCCAGCAGCCTGGGGCTCCACACCATTCCCCACCTTCCTTGCCCTTCTCTGGACACGCTCCAGCCCCTCCAGGTCCTTCTGGGAGTCAGGGGCCCAATCCTGAGCCCAGCATTCCAGGGGCGGCCTCACCAGTGCCCAGCAGAGGGGCACGGTCACTGCCCTGCTTCTGCTGGCCACACCAGTCCTCATACAAGCCCTCCTGGCCACCTGGGCACACTGCTGGCTCATATTCAGCTATCTCACGAGAGCCCATTTCCATTTCCAGCTTCCTTGCTGGAGTCTGCTGGAACAACAGGACTCCTGGACCCCTAGAGCGGTCCACATCTGAGTTTGTAAGGTATAAGCAAGGTGCTCACCGATCAACAGCAAGTGGAAGTTCAGGTGGGATCTGTCCAGGGTCACTAGTGGGTCAGTGGTGTTGCCCACCAACAGGAACGGGACCGAAAGGCTCTGCTCAGGGATTGTAAAGACCCAGAATGATTCTGTGATGTCCAGGTGCCGGGGGATGAATTCAAACTTCATCTGGGGGAGAAAGAGGCAAATGTAGGAAAGTTGCTGCCCTCGGCAGGGTAAGGGGAGGGGAACGCAGGCTGTACCACTGAGAAAGCCCAGAAAGCTCCATCTTATGTTGCTGCCAGCTCAGAGAGGGGCTGCTGTGCCACTTACAGCCCTAAAGTGTGGCAGACGCGGGTACAGTGTGAGGACAGGTCCATCTGCCTGTACATTTACACTGCAGGCAAATGTTTTCATCATCTTGGCTAAAGCTCACAGTGAGATGGGACACCCAGTAAGCGTAGGCATAGTTGGTGTCAAACTGGCACCCACCTTTTAATTTTTTGCACCCACCTCTGCTTTCTTCCCGGGCTGGATCTGACCTCTCTCTGCAAGGCAGCAGAAAGCCATCTGCTCTGCTGGGGCTTCAGGGTCTTGGCAAGTCCACTGGAAGGAATAAGCGGAACCGGTTGGGTTCATCACCATGAAGGTCCTGGGCACAGAAAGCAAAAAGGACTAACTAAGGTGGTGTTGGGATGTTAGTGACTCTGTCCTGTAGCAGACATCAGGCACTGCCAGTCCTGGACACCATCTGGAAGGAGTTATTTGGAATAGGGGATCAACGCTGGGAGCACAAACATTCCACCAGCATTCTAAGGGCCCTGGTTGTTTTCCAGGTGGCTACAGATCAACAGCTATTGACAAAGAAATTAGCAAGGATGTAGCCAAGCTCTTGCATGCTAAAATGGTAAGATCAAGTGGGGCTTGGAAGAGTAGCCAGAGAGGTCTCTGGTTAAGGAGGGTGACCAGGAGACCATCAACAGGAGAAGCCATGCCCACACCTACCTGCTGTTCCTGCTGCCCACTCCAACTGCTGCAAACTCAATTACTCTTGTGTTGAGACCTAGCATTGCCCCCTTTGGTCCTTGCAACTCTGGGTTCCGCCTTCTTGCACTGATGTAGTCCGAGTCTTCCAGTTCAAAGTGGCAGTTCGGCATCAGGCTTCTCCCCTTCACAGCCACCTCTGGGCCCTTCTGATTCGGCTTCAGGTTAGGAATACTAGGGAGAAAAGGACCGGTATTAGCCAAACTAGCGTTCCCAAACAGCCAGCTGCTTGCCCATCTCTTTGTACAGCACAGCGCATTGCATTCTCCCTCCATGCAAGCACTGAGCAGCAAATGAAACAGAACTGCGCTTCCCGCCACAGAGGCAGTGGAGGTGTAAAATGGCAGAAACGTGACCAGTTATGTGTGTAGAGACCAACTGCAGCACACGGGTTTCTGTGTAGATAAGGAGGCCGTGCTTGTCTGATAAGGCAGCATAGCTAGGGACTGGCTGGCCTCTTGACAGCCTTTCTGGATCTCTCATTTCAGATTTTGCAACCCTCCAGGAGCTTCATAGTTCATAGATTGTCTTTTCCCAGTGTCTCCATACCTGCTTCTACCAAGGCTGGATGATCATCTTTCTTTGCTCCTGTACGTTGGTTGGATCTTCTGCCTCTTTGTGGCTGGCTGTCCCCATGTCCACATTCCCACCCACCCCACCCAGAGGTACTTCCATGACTGTTCCATCAGTAGCGTAAGCTGAAAAGCGCCTGGACGTTTCCTACCTGCAGAGCATGCGGCTCTCAAAGTCCCCCCCACACACCGGAGAGAACTTCATCTGCAAGAGCTGCTCCTGGCCAGCAGGGATGGTGCCACTGCAGGGCTCAACAGAGAACATCGAGGTGGCACTGACGGTGCTCAGAGACGAGCTCAGGGAGGAAGAGACATGCTCCGGAGCGTGGCCCAGACGGCTCGAATAACGCCTAGACTGGAGCTTTACAGAGGCACCAGAAGCAGAGGAGACGAAATCCCCTGTGGTAAGGAAGAGGTTAGCAGGACACCTTTGTTCAAGGAGAAAAATCCTCTGTTCCCAGCAACTCTGCTCCCACTGCGGGTTGACAGAAGGGAGCTGGGATGCACTTGGAGCACCAGTGTTTTCAGCAGTAAGGCTCCCAATGAAGAACAGGGAGAGTGGTCAGGATGCTTTTTGATTCTGTGTTACTGCTTGCTAAATCGTAATCCCAGAAAGTCCTAGGGACCAGTGTGAAGGTGAGAATGGGCAGGAGGGAGAACAGCAAATACCATGAAAATGCCCAGCGGAGACCCAGAGAACTGCTTGAATCAAAACACACCGCTGAGCATTGCTGTACGAGATGCTCAGATGACAGCTGGGAAGGCTGTGTCAGCAAATTAAATGGGCCCAGGACCAAAGCTGCCCATCTCACTCCATGCTCTTCAAGTCTCCATCTCCATGCCTGGGTGGCTTAGATACAAACTCCTCCTGCAGAACGCTTTCTGGCCAGCGTTCATTCCCAAACCATGTCCAGGAGCTAACACTAGAGATGACTTTTACAGCATCTGGGAAAAAGGCTGGGTGCTGTTTCATGTCCCAGTCCAGCCAGGCTCAGTGCTTAGCATTAAGGACAGCATTAAGTCCTGCTCCCCTGTTGCCTACAGAACTGAATTTTGTTTGTTGTGCATGGTAGAGAGGCAGCTTTGGGGAACAGCACTGCTCTGTCCTCCACACCCTTTCCTTCCTTCCTCTTTGCCAGGTTTTCATAACCGATGGCAGCTCATGGCACAACCCAGCAGACTGACTTCAGCACCAGTGTGCCCTGTGTTGGGGAAGAGCCAACACCAGCACCCAAAGGAGAGGGGGTTAAACACATTGAGAGGGTTGAGGTGTCCCATCTTGACCATCAGGCAAGCTGCTGTGCTAGGAGAGGCAAAGGCTGACAGCTCTCCCTGCTCCTGCTCCAAGGAGACCTCTTGGACACTCTTGGGGAAGAGTGGCTGGAGAGCTGCACAGAGTAAAAGGACCTGGGGGTGCTGACTGACAGGCTGCTGAATATGAGCCAACAGTGTGCCCAGGTGGCCAACAGCATCCTGGCTTGTATGAGGACTGGTGTGGCCAGCAGGAGCAGGGCAGTGACCGTGCCCCTCTGCTGGGCACTGGTGAGGCCGCCCCTGGAATGCTGGGCTCAGGATTGGGCCCCTGACTCCCAGAAGGACCTGGAGGGGCTGGAGCGTGTCCAGAGAAGGGCAAGGAAGGTGGGGAATGGTGTGGAGCCCCAGGCTGCTGGGGAGCGTCTGGGGGAGCTGTGGGTGTTGAGCCTGGATGCCCATGGAAGGCATCGAGTCCCCATCCCTGGGGGGATTTAAAAGCTGGGCAGACGAGGTGCTTAGGACCAGGTTTTAGTGGTGGGCTGGAAGGGTTAGGGGAATGGTTGGGCTTGGGGATCTTAAAGGGCTTTTCCAACCCAAACAATTCTATGGTTCTGTGACACAGAGCCCTGTTTCCCTGCAGAACCACGCTGTTCCCAAGGAGACCGCTGGCTCCGACACAAACACTTTACTGCAGGTGAATGAGTCCCTGCCCCGCTGCTGAGCTACAATGGCCACTGTGAGCAGGGTCTCCGCCTGCAGCAAACGCTCCCATGCCCGAGCTGGGAGGGTTGATTTTAGATGGTGACTTTGCATTTGCCCTGGACTGGGGAATTGCACCTGGACAGTGACTGCAGGTCAGCTAACTCGTTACAGCATCCATTTTCCCAGTCTAGGAGACTTCCCAAAGAGGTGCCCTGGTGCCCCCCCTTCCCAGTCCTGACCCACAATGTGGCTCTCCCCTGATGGAGGCTCAGCTCCCTCATGGAGCACAAGCATAGGAGGCTCTGAAAGGCAGAGAGGGGGCAAGGAGAAAGCCTCCAGCGGCAGCTGGGAAGATGCTGATGAAAGCGGACGACTGGACAGGTATGAAAAAGCAATTCATGTTTTGGGGTGAAGTGGCATGGTCTTCTCCCAAGCCCTCAGCTACCATCTGAAACATCCTGGGCACCCCCAGCTGCCTTAGCACCCCTGAGCTAGTGCCTTACCATCCGGACTGGGTGGGAGCAGCTCCCCAGTATGGCTCACTGCCCTTTCATCCTCCACAGCTGCCATCCAGGAGTATTCCAGGGCCACATTCCCTGTATTGGACAGCTGGAAACTGAAAAGCGAGGAGGAGGAATAAAAAGTCCAATAAATACAAAGCAAGTAGAGGAGTAACACTGTACGGTGGGCTCCTGGCGCCCCTTTCTCTATGCCGAGTAGCATCTTCTTCCCCAGACAACTCTGCCATGTCTAGGTCGCTGCCCTGGGCTGCCCCGAGACCAAGTATTTCAAAGTTTGGAAGTTAAAGAAGAAAGGGCAGACATGGTGCCCAGGAGACTTAATCCAAGGGTCTTATTCTGGTCTTTATGTCTCAGTTTGACATTATTTTGACTGCAAACTCATCCTCAAGGAGATGAGGGCAGGCAACACACAATGAGAGCAAAATCGTGGCGGTTCTCAGCAGAAAGGCATGGCAGAATTGAACCTCTCTCTCCTGGCATATCTTGGCAGGACAGCAGCCACCATCTCCTGCTTGGCTTTGTGTGCAGATCTAGGGGCCCCAGCACCCAGACAGGACTTGGAAAGCAGGAAACAATAAATGATTTGTTTAAAGGGATGAAGAGCAGGGGAGACTGACCACAAAGCCCTAGAAGGGACTTGGGTCCACATGTGGGAGATCTCCAGGCCCTGGGATGCGCCAGGTTATGTGCAGAAGCTGACATCTTAGACCCAGCAGATAGCAGCATCCCCCTCCAAGACTGATCATCTAATGAAATTAGAAGAGTTTTATTAATTGGCTGAGCGATAAGCATGTCAGCATAATGTCTGCTGGCACAGGACCATGAGTAGGACGAAGAGGAGAGACCACCAGAGAGCACAGAGTGGCTCAGGAGAAGCAGATACTGGGTCAGCCCTGGGCAAAGTCAGGTCCCACTTGCAGGTGGCCTGGCCTCTGGCACTCACGTGAACATCCTCGTCTGGAAGAGCAAGGTCTCCTTGAACTGAATCACGTCCGTATCCAGCTTGAACTCGGCATAGTCAACGACAGCACTGAGGCGAAGCTCCACCTCGCGGCTGCTCTTCTCCAGGACTGTGTGAGCTGGTTCTGGGTCTGTCTCGATCACCTCCAAATGGGAGAGGGAAGAATCACTGAGCAGAGCCCAGAAAGCCAGACTGAGCAGGGAGTCTTTTGGCGTCCAGAATCAGCCACGCTATAGGGGCTAGGAAGGACTGTTCCCATTTATTTCCCTGGGAAGATGACGTTTGACCCTTCCGCTATAGTCTTTGTTTCTACCTACTGATCACAGCAATCGCCACCACAACTGCGAATACACCCATGGGGACTACAGCTGGGTGTCAGTCCCTGTGTTTCAACCCTGCAGAGTGTCCGACCTTCTTCCTGGCCCAGTAGGCCTCTAAATTAGGATTAACTTCCCCTGCTGGAGCTCTGTGGGTGGAGAACCCCAGAAATGAACAAACCTAGAAAGCACCTTTTCCTTCTTGTCTTAGGAGAAAGTGCTTTCCAGATGTCCCATGTGGGGCAACAGCCACATTGATAGGGGCTGGGAATGGGAATTTTGGGTTGGGAATGAATTCACTAGGGAAGTCTCCGACTGCTGATGTTCTGATGGGGAATGGTTTACAGGTCTTACAATGGTTCAGAAACTAGGGAAGAACTCTCACCCAAGTTAAGTGTGTTTGACAATAACAATAGGAAAAGCAAGAGTTTCTGGAGATGATACCTCTCCGGACTCCTGCGTGACTCAGTGCCTCAGCATGAGAAATCCCACAGGGTATAGAGACCACAACCAAAACCTCTGGTATCGGTGTAGACAAGAGCTCAGAGCTCACCCACAACGTGCTGGCGGGCTAGCCACTGTACGCAGAAGAGCGCTAGGGTTTCTCTCCAAAACAAGAGACAGAGTGCAGTAGACTTAACACCTTGCTGGTGCAAAGGCACTGAATCAGATGAAGAGATTTTAACACCATAAAATATGACTGTCCATTCAAGACAGGCTGCAAACACTTCAGCTTTTGGCAGAGACCAATAGTTTGCACGGGACTAAATGTCTCTTGTCAAAAAGACCTCCCCATCTTATGCGAGTGTATCAGGTCACTGTGCATCCACCTCTTCCCCCTAACACATGCTGCAGGTCAACCTCATGGATGGATTAAATGTCAGGAGGAAGCAGGAGCTGCTTAGCCAGCAGAGATGGTGGTCTGCTGCTGTCGGCAGCTCTTTTTGTGGAAGCTAGGTTGGCTTTTGCTATTGTGCTTCTCACCTTCTTCTTGACCGGCCATGTGGCTGCCAGGCCCCTCGTGGCATCCACCCACTTGACGGTGCGCAGGCGGTCGTCCCAGTCGGTAACCTGCTCTGGCGGCAGGTGGAAGGCGATCCTGGCCACCTTACACTTCACAGGGTGCATTTTGAAGGCCACTGCAACGTCCGATTTCAAGGTCACTGTAATGTCCTTAGCACAGCCAGCGTGGAGGTGTCCCACCTAGGGAGAACCAGAGAGCCAAGACCAAACTGGAATCACTGGCAAGGGCAGGACTGACAGTCAAGGGATTGATGCGGTTGTGGCAGTGTGCTCCCTGCCCCCCCAAAACCCTGCTCAAGCGATAACCACCCGTGGCAGTCACAATAGATGCATCTGGTCATGATGGATGCATCCAACTCAAAGCGGACTTGGGGGAGACAGAGAACATGATAGCCAAGGGCTATTGTGCAACGTGTCCCCCTAAGCACAGTGAAGAAACTAAAATCTGCGGTTGGTACGCAAATATGACTGAGCCAATCCTCTTACCCCCATAAATAGCGAGCAGCCCAGGAGCCCTTGGAGCTCTCCTGCATGGCAGCATGCTGCATGCCAGGATCTCCCTCGGAGCAGGGACACCTCTCAAGGTTATTCCTCGAGGTTGAGAGATTCCTTACCGCAACAGATCATCAGTAAGCGGCTAACAACATGCTAACTTTGAAACCTTAGCTAAGAGATATAAAGGATTGATCGCACATATCTAATCCTTTAGACATGAACTGTTGACCAAGTCTGGGACTAGGATTGGATCCAGCTGCACCCACACTCCTCTCTGAGGAAGGAGTTTAGAAAGCAAGGGGATCTTTTCTCAACCTCATGACTCAATGGGTCTCCCTGACAGTTTTGTCTGACCCCTCTGCAGTAAATAACCAAGTGTACCTTGCCATTGAATCTTATAAACCAGTCATGTTTACCACTGAACTTTGTTAACTCGGTGTTTTAGATCAATAAACTACTTTTTTTTGGCCTCTCTCTCACTCCATCCATGCCAGCAGTGAGCAGCTGTGCCAGGAATCTGCATCTGTATTTATCTGAGGTTTGAGAGACGAAAGTACAAACAAAAGATGCCATCTCCCATAACACAAAGCCTTTTCCGTGGGAGTGACAGCCCTGCCCCCCACAAAGCCAGGGATTGCATCTCCTGCATGGCACTGGAACGGGCGCTCACCAGTAGGTGGTCGCTCCCTGCTACCTGCCAGAAACCCACCGGGCAGTGCTCGGGCAGCGGGGAAAGGCAAAACCACCCAAGCTCACCTGGGGGGAGAAGTGAAATGGGGCGCCTGCCAGCCACTCAAACCGCATCGCCTCCATCCTGCTGCGATTGGTGATCGTGAAAGTCACGGGGTAGGGTGTCCCAATGTGACAGTCCCCAAACTGGATGTGATCCACTCTGGCAGCTGGTAAGAAGGAGAGCAAGGGATCTCAGCGTGCAGGGAGGTCCATTGCCATCCTCACATGCACAGACACACGTATGTCCAACTCCCTCGCTCCAAGCCCTCCTCCCTCTGGGAGATGCAGTTCCCCATCCTACCACTTTCAGAGGAACACCCTGACGCATCCCTCGACACGTGGCTGTGTCGGCACAGGGGGACAGGCATGCTCACAGACCACCAGGTCTGGTTACGCAGAGGACAAAAATTATCACACATGGTCTTCATCTCCATAGTCTACACCATGGGCTGGAAGACCTCCTTTTAGAGAGACTCAGCTGAATGCTGGCATCTCTGCCCCTTCCTTGCTAGGCTGCAAGCTTCAACCTTGACAGAGGATCTTCCCTTGCGTTCTCAAGCGTGGCTGCTCTGCAGGCTACAAAAGGCAACAGGATCTGTCCCCTAAGTCTGGACCACACCTGCACTGGCACAGGGTGCAGAAATATGTATTTTTCCTGTTCTGTGCTCTGTCTGGGCAGCCTCTCCTCTCTTACCCTCAATTATGTCCTCTTCTAGATTGCCTTCAGCATCCTCTTCCTTGCTGTCTGCTGCTAGCCCATGGATGTTATCTAGCGTGAAGTCATCCTCGTAGCCTTCACCCACCAGCTGAATGTTGGTCTCTTCGTAGGGGTTGTCCACCACCGACAGGTGGATCTTCGCCTCCACGCGTTGGGCCAGGGTGGGTTTGAAAAGCACGTCAAACTCTGCTAATTCCCCGTGATGCAGGACCAGGGAAGCAGTGTGGGGCTTCCTCTCTGCGCAGCAATGGAAATCAGAGACAAGTGATAGAGCTGTACAGAGGACATATTTCCATGGGGTGTAAGAGGAATAAGTTGAAACCCAACTGTCTCTAAGGTTCTCCCACTGCTGGTTCCTATATTCACCCTCCTCCTATATTCACAAGACTATGACACCACCATACATATTGCTGCTTAAGTGTCTTAACGTCAGGTTAACACCCAGCTCTCACTCAAACTGCATCACGCCAGCTCCTGTCATACATAAAGCCGAGTCAGAGTGGATTTGGCTTTTGTTGGCTAACTGTAGGCTCAAGGGCTGCCTCCGTTCAGGCTGCTACCTCCCCACGTGCAGCAGAGACCTTGGATGGTCCATTCAAGTGCTGGTAATACCCCACAACTCGACCCACCGTGTCCAGAAGAAGAGAAAAACTTCCTACAACTTGCCAGAAGGAAATCCTGCAACGAGTCCACATGAAAAACTAGGGGTACAGAGAGCCCCAAGAAAGAAACTCTAACATCTGGCAGCTGCTTGGCCAAGTCAAGAGCAGGGCACGCATCTTCCCTGTGTGGATGACTAGAGGTCATGGGTAATGAATTCACCTTCTCTGGGAGAGTCCTCCTTCATGCCCGCAGCTTGGTAGATGCAGTGTGTGGTGGGCCTGGCTTTCAGGAAGAAAACTCCCCCTTCATCCAGCAGGTCTATCGTCAACTGAGAAGAGGGAACACAGAGCACAACCACACCAGTGTGGGTACGGGATGGCTCGCAGATCGACACCGTACCGCTGCTGGTCCGGCATGGGGAACCCAGCACACCTCCCCGTTTCAAACACAGCTCTTATCACAAAGTTTAAGTGAAAGCAGACAGAAAAAAAAAAAAATGCTCAGAGGCATTGGGATTTAATTAAAATATAACCAAACAGGACAGAAAGTACTAAAAGTAACAAGCAGAATGTAATTAAACTATGACTGAGTTTAATTAAAACATAGTAAAACGTGATCAAATACAATCTAACGTAACTAGGACATCACACGTTCCCACAGGAGAACCAAAGTGCAAGAAGAGAGACGGGGGAAAACACCTCACCAACTTTCCTGTGTTGAAGTAAAAAGGACAGACTGGTCAGAAAATCACATTTCCAAGAGGAACGCCCTTCCTTGGAAAGTGGAAGTCAGTCATTAGCTTAAAAAGAATTTCTGAGACCCATTCCCATGCAGTTCACTGAGGCACAGAGCGGAAAGAGTAACTGGCAGAAAACCCCAGGGTGGGTTCAAGACTAGCAAAGACGGCAGCGAAGGAGACAAGAGACAAAGGTGAAGGCCTGATGGAAGCTTCCTAGAGGGATCTGGCTGAGAAACGAGACTCTTCCCGCTGGTTTGCCCAAAGCATCTTCCAGAAAGTTGGGGGGGTTTACTCTCCCGTGATGGAGCAGCTCTGAGCACAAGGAAAGGAGGCTGAGGAGAGACCTTATTGCTCCCTACAACTGCCTGACAGGAGGGGGGAGCTGGGGGTGGTTGATCTCTGCTCCCAGGGAACAGGTGATGGGATGAGGAGAAATGGCCTCAAGTTGTGCCAGGGCAGGTTTAGGTTGGACATTGGGAAAAATTCCTTCCCCGCAAGGGCTGTCAGGCCCTGGAAGGGGCTGCCCAGGGAAGGGGTTGAGTCCCCATCCCTGGGAGGATTTAAAAGCTGGGCAGAGGATTGGCTTAGGGCCAGGGTTTAGTGGTGGGGTGGCAGGGTTAGGGGAACGGCTGGGCTTGGAGAGCTTAAAGGGCTTTTCCAACCCGAACGATTCTGTGGTTCTATGAAAGGGTTTCACCTGGTGTTCAATGGCACGCACAGAGCAGCGATGCCTCTGCGCAGCCCTACCGTGCTTTCTGACGCTTTTCCTCCACAGCACAAGGACTTGTCCCCAGACCATAGCATTCCCTGAGCAGGTCCTCACCTGGACAGGCACGACGCCACCATTATGAAGGACCAGAGGGAGTTTTTCGGAATCACCCAGCAACAGCTTCTTGAAGAGCAGCAGAGGGTTCCCTCTCTTACTGCGAAGGACTGGGCGCAGGACCGTCACCCGAGGCAGGTTCCCATCTCCGCTGATATCGAAGGTCAGGCTCTGTGCTTTAATGACCGCAGGGCTGCAGGGAAGGCAGAGGAGAATTCATTACGGCTGACACTAACCTATTTCCCACTTGCCAAGCCACGAAGCGAGTGCGACCCACGGCGTTTTCCCTGGCTGATGCCCCTGCACCGCCCCCCACAGCTCCCCCTCACCACTCCCCTCCCAGTCAGATCAGGGCCATTTAATAAGAGGAATCTGCACTGAAGAGCCAGAGCCTTCCAGAATAACAGTTAAAAAAAATCATTTCACTTAATCAAATCATGCAGTACAGCAGGTAAATAATGAGGCAACAGATGTGATACGGCAAATTTGCCGTCTGCGGCGACACAAGACACATGCCAAAAACACAAGCACAGCATGAAAACAGCGTAAAAGCAAGAAAGGAGAAGTAAATAAATAACACCATCAGGAAAGATTATTTCCAAGGACACTAAACCAGGAATTGCTTATTAGGGCAGAAAGCTGACTTCTCTTGTCTCAACTTGGCGACTAAAGGGTTGGGGAAGAGCAGGTCAGAGCCCTGGAACAAACACAAATCCCAGGACAGAACTGGGTTCCTCTTTCCTAAGGGGTCCAACCACTCCTGAACATAAAATATTTTGATATACCCCAGATAATCACATTGGATCATCTCATTGTAACAAAAATGAGCAGGAAATCATGCATGGTGCCCTGCTGGCACAGAAACTTCTTTGTCTCACCCTTTGTCCTTGGAAAGGCCCCGCTCAGCTGCTGCACATCTCCATTGCTTTCCAATTCAATAACCCCCAGTTGCCTACCTAACGTTGCACCATCTTCACAGCCACTCATATGGGCTAAACCACAACCCTTATTTTTATGCCCTGCTGTATCTAGCGGTTGCTGCCTCCTATATTATCTGATGCGCAGTACTTTACCTAAGGCTACCGAAAGCATCAGGGTTAACAAGAGGTCTATGTCCTCCCAGAGGAGAGGCAGTGATCAGAAAGCTCCCATCCCCCCCAGGATTTCACAGGGTGAGTTACCTCGCCTGGACGTCAAGGGAAGCCTCAAAAGTGCACTGGTAGTTCTGCATCGTTTGCGGAGTGAAGGTCACTGTGGCAAAGGCATGGGAGCGGCTGGGCACGCACATCCGAACGGGATCCACCTCGAAAACATCACTAAGGCGGCTGTTGAGCTTGGGAGAACCCACAAAGCGGTGTTAGGAGAAAACAGCCTTTGCTATGGTGTGGTCTGACTCATATATGCATCATGGGGAACAGCCCCAGGTGGTGTTTTCCTTCCTGCTTCCCTGGACAGGCTCCCTCCATCTCAGGGGGTGACTCCAAAGTGGAGCTGACCTTGCACAGGGAGCTGCCATGAAGCCCAGGAGGGCAAAAGCTTGCTCTGAGCACCAGGCAGCCCCCCCCAGCATACATGGGAGGCAGGAACTGCATGGAAAACCCTGCAAATAACCAAGAATTGGCCTTTAAAGAGAAGGAAAACAGGGAGCCCAAGGAAATGGTCTGCTTTGAGCCCTGGTGCACCAGTCCAGTAAAAGCTCCCCTCTGAGCGTGCTTCCAAGAGATATTCAGAAGGGTTCGGGTCTCCCAAAGACCCAGAGGGCTGAGCCAAAACCTTGCTGAGTTCAACCCAACTGTCACCCTGGGGTTGCTGCTCTCCCCTATAGACTTGTATTGAGCTGGACTGGACCAGGCAAGAGGAAGCAATAAAGCTGGAGAACAAGGCAGGCTACCACATGGCCTTTGAAAAGCAACCGTCACCTTGGCCTCTTGTTCTTACCTTACCAGGGACGGGTTTGATGGAGAGGACCACGTCACAGGGGACTTTGTTCACGTTGCGGATCTTGAAGCGAGCTGTGGCCCGGTGCCCAACCAGAACATTGGTGAAGATAAACTTGTTCTCATCTGTGATGAACACACCCTTGTCTTGCATGGTCTGTAGGATCTGGCAGAGGTTGATGTTGCTGCAGATTCGATGCTCCTCAAAGATGGACTCTATGTCATCAACCACAAATGCTGCAAACAGACAAGTGGGAGGGCTGAGGATGAAGAAGCCTTCCTGATGAATTTATCTGGATTCTGCTGGCCTCTCGGAAGGCTTAATAAGCCCTTTCTGCCCCGGTCACTGCAAAACCCAACCTGGGTGGGTGTGTTGGCTGTGAGGATGGAGCTCAGTCACCCTCAGCCTTAAAGGGTATTGCTTTCTTTTTGTTCCTCCATGCATCCCTCTCACTTCTCCCCACTGGTGGACTTGAAAAGCATTTTAAGATAGGACATTAGGGTCAGGGTGTCTCTGTCCCAGTGGTCAGTCTGGGTACTGACCAGCAGCAGGCCTGGCCATGGGGACCTGCAGACGGGGCATACCTGGGAGGCAGGACTCAGCAAACAGGGTATAGGGGATGCCAAGGGGATTGTCCTTGGGGTCTCTGTCGCTGATCTCAATGGACAGGCACTCTTTGCATGTCCCCACTGGCTCTGCGTAGCAATCCACCGTGATCATCTGCTGGCCTCCAGGAGGGATGGAGCCAAACCCAGGGTACACCGTGAACATGCCTAGAGTGAAGCGAGCCTGTGGAAAGAGTCCCAGGAGAGGCTGATGTCTCACAGCCTTACCTTGAGCATCCCTAGCAAGGAGTATGCCCATCCTTGGCCTCCAGCCGGGCCCAAGCCCCCAAGTCCCAGGGCAAGGAGGGATGACTCCATGGCCCAAAGGCAGCCCCAGGATGGCATAAACAAGCCAGGAGGAGGTGTAAGGCTTGCCCTGAGCGGAGTAGAGAAAGAGTTTGGGTGTAAAGTGTGAAGGTGGTAGCTGGGATCCTTCAACATCCAGGGGTAAAACAGGAGAGCAGAAATAACTGTGAGAAATGATGGGAGAGGAGAGAGGGGCTGGGAAGAAGAAAAAGCAAAGTCATCTTATATCAGTGGACTGTGAGTTCTAAGAGGGATGTTCCGCATCTGTGGTATCCACAGACCTATTTTCGTTACCAAACACGGGACCTGCTCCCCTCTCTCAACCCCAAAACTTCAGATCTGAGTCAGAGCATGGGACTGTCAGTGGGATTGAGCCACTCCTGCCCCTGCTTGTGGCTGTGACGGACCTCCATCACACAGACCACATCCACTCCTGTGGTGATGAGCCCCCAGCCTGGGCACCACAGCATCCTCCCACAGCACGTGTTGGGGGGCAGGAGCCACCTACCTGCATGAAGGGGCTTGCATCCTTTTGCAGCGAGTTCTTGCTTTGCTTGACTGAGGGAGTCATTTTGCTTAAATTTTCACTCTCGTGGGAACGGGCAGATTTCATTTGATGTGCACTGAGTGGAGAAAGCAGAAAACATTCACCACACTGAGCTCCCCCCGCCTTTCTCCGAGGCCAAAGCTGGTCTTCCTCCCCATGGAGGAAAGCCTTCCTGCTCCTGGTGGCTCCTGGGGGGAGAAGGCAGGGTGCCTGCAGCACCTCTTGCTGTAGCTTATGGATAGATCAGCCATATCAGCAGCTTTGCCCTACACACAGGGATATCGAGGCATTTTTCTGCTCCCTGGAAGGGTGGTGCAGGTCTTCTCTCACCTTTTCCTTGGCAATACAGGTGCCTCCTGGTCTGCTCGGTAGATGAAGAATTTAAAGTCAAGGACGCCTTTGTTCTCCAGTGTGAAGGTGCAGGTTTTCCTGGTGCCATTCATCATGGCACCAAAGCTGATGAGCGAGGCAGGGTAAATGCTGTACTTGCTGAACACCGCTTTTGCTGACACCCTCACTGGGATAATGGCAATGGTCTCGCCTCCTTCACAGATGCTGGGCTCAATCACCTGCAACCAGCAGAGGGGTTGGTAAATGCAGCAAAGAGGCCAGCCTCTCTTTCTGTCCCCTGACCCCATCCCAGGTCCCCATCAGCTCACCCTCCCTGTTCAAACGCCTCCTCCAGAGCCAGATGTTCAGCTCCACTTAGGAAGCATCACAAATGGGTTCTGAAAGACTTTGGTGAACATGTATGAGCGGATTCCCCAGCTGAAGCCTTCCTTCCAGAAGATACGTGTCCTGCTTTGCACTCCCAAGGCAAGGTGTGCAATGCCGCCGGGCCCGGCAGCTCACCTGACAGTGCAGGATGGGGCTGTCCTCAATACTCATCTCCGTCTTGGGGTGGAAGAGCAGCTGGACCTGCACAGGGCGGTCGGAGACAGATAGCACACCCTTCTGGGGCTGGATAGTGAAGTGGGATGCCAAGTTGGGTATGTTGGTATCCACGGTTTCCAGCTTGAAACTGGGGAGAAAGGGAAGGGACGAAGATCTCTGCAGTTAAAGGTACAGATGCCACCAGCACAGCCAGGACTTTGTGTGGGACCGTAAAAAAAATAAAAGGGAAAAATCCAGCTCTGCTTGGGGAACCCCAGACCTTGACACAGAGCGCAGACAGGTGCTGCAAGCTGACCTCAACACCGAATTTTTTCATTCCCTCCTTTAAAGAGTCTCATAAAGAGAAACAAGCTGACCCTCAAAGGAAGCAAATGAATCTTAGCAGCAAACGGCTTAGATTTCAGGGTCCCCCTTCTGGTTCCTGCCGAGCCGTACAGAACTGCTGGTGTGTGGCTGGATTCTCTGTTAAAGTATTTGAGATTAGAGAGCCTAGGTTTTGTGTTTAGCCGGACTGTGAGGTAGGCAGCACGGGACCAGGTTCCAGCCGCGGACCGGAGGAGAATGCAGGCCTGGGCAGATGGTGGCAATGCACATTTGCAGCCCGGGCAGCTGGACCCACCTGTAGGCGATCTCGTACTTCCCTTTGTTCTTCAGAGTCAGCGCTTGCTTTGCATCATCCAGGACCTTAAGGATCCCAAAATCCACGCTGCCATCCGTACCTGCAGAAAACCCATAGAGCAAGGTAAGAAACGGTGAATATTTGTGAGCTGCTGCAGACCACACCAAGCGACAAGATACGTTATTTGGAGTTCTCAGGTGGCACGAAACCCTTCTCGTCAAGCTTCTGTTCTCAGAAGTTTTCTCTAGCTGCTTTGCTGCCCTTTCTCTTCTTACTTGGGGGATATCTGCTGGGTTTAGCAGCTAAGGAGCTCAGTTTCCATATCCTTGCTTCCAAGCACAGATCCAATGCCTTTATGAGCCTTCAGGAGTTGCCAACCACTTGTTCACATCCCTGCTGTTCCAAAGCCCCTGGATCAATCTGTGCACAAAGTTGCATGCTCCAAAGCTCAGAGACGAGAGCCTCAAGGCTGGCTGTGCCCTGACAGCCCCGACAGCCCTGTGCGTGCCCACGCAGCTCACAGGAGATGGGCTTTACACACCCGTGCCATGCTCGCACGCTGTCCCATCCTGTCCCACGCGCTTTGGTTGCCCATCGCCAAGGCAATGCAATGCAATGCACCTGGACTACTTTTGTTTTTAGGGGCATCCACTGACCTTTAGAAATGCTGATGCTCAGAGCAACATCATAGGCCTCCGCAAGGATTTGGATATTTTCAATCTGAACGATCCCCAGGACATTTTCTGCATCTGACACCTGAGGCAGCAAGAAAAAAACACCACTTAGACCATTCTCCTAAATTCTTTTGGTAGGCAACATATGAGTCCTTGGTCTCTGCCGGCTGCTTCCACCATGGCCTTCCCTGCTTGACAAGCATTTGTGGACTCCCAAGCTTTCCTAAAATGGTTCCTCTCACAGGCTGACCCCAGTGGGATTCTGCTGTGGTAGGAAACCCCATCAGCCCATCCCTGCGCTCCTACAGCAGGGAACACTGCTGCTAAAGCACCTGGGGAGGCACAGCGATGTAAAAACAACCACAAGAAACGTGAGGTGGCCCAGAGCCCATGGCATTGACCATCAACCCTTCTCCTCTTCAATCATGCAGCATCCTTGCTGAAATGCAGCCCCTAAACCACGAGGAACAAAATCCCAGGGTGAGAGTGTGTTGCTCTACGTTATGAGTCCCAGATGGACTCCAGGATGGGTGCAGGGAGCGTGCTGAAGATTGGACAACCAAACAGCAGCATTCAGGCATGCAGGGCAGCATGGTGGATGCAATATGGGCTCAGGACATGGCCTCATAACCCAGGTGCAAGCCCCACAGAGGCAGCAGCTGGTTATTTAGGGTGATGTGGGTGCTCAGGGATGCGAACCCAGTTTGAGGCAACAGAAGTTGGGGTCACAGCGCTCTTATGTCCGTCAGGCACTTCTCTTCCCAACTCCACAATATATTTGCCTGATGAAGCTCAGCTACAAGAGCATCCCAGCAGTCGCTTAGTTTCCAAAAATGCCCCCCGGCAACAGGGGTAGAAAGGAATCTCAGGAAGGCTCATCCTTTTGCCCTCTTTGCAGGGTGTCCTTTCAAGCAGAGCCTCCATCCTTAAGAGCATGGGGCTGATCACTCCGCCCCACTCTGCCAGGGCGGGCACCATCCCCCTCACCTCCAGTCGGATCGTCTTCTTAATGCTTAGAGCCTTTGTTGCCTTGAAATACAGGTGCACGCTAAATTCTGCCCGGGGACCAACAGTGCCCCTGTCTTGCGACACGGAGAAGTCCTCGCCGAGGTGTTCCAGGCCACTGAGCCGCCAGGCCACCGGCAGTGGGGTGCTGTTTCGCAGGACCAGGGTCTTGCTGTCCTTCCTGCAGAGAAAAGACACTCAGCACCGGTTGCTCGATGGTCATGCTAGCCTTGCAGTTGAATGCAACTTGGAACAGCCCTATCCATACATATGAAACCATAGTTTGATGTTTTCTCTATGTCACAAGCCTGAAAGATGAGGTCCTGGGAGGAGAAGTTGGTATTAGAAGTGTATCCAACAGAAGGGAGATAAGGAGGAGCAATTGGACTGCTCTCTGAACCAGCAGACAAGGCACAAACGCACCGAGATGCCCATTGCACAGCATCGCTGGGGGGCTACGGAGCTCGTGGCTGTTACAGGATATCAAAGCCTATGAGGAATGGTGAGCAAGAGACTGGGAATTGCTGGGAAGAAGAAGGATGCTAGCCCAGCCTCCCATCCAGGTGGCCACATGGCCAGCAAGAGAAGCTGAAGGGGAAGCTGCTGACAGCTCTCGCCCCCAGCAGAGCGGCTGTGGGGTGACTGACCTGTGCAGAAGCAGCTTGTCGAAATGCACCTGCTTGGGGCTGACCCCCAGCTCCACCTGCACCCCCTGGCAGCACAGCCGGAAGATCACCGGCTCTGGGTTCTCCCGAATGCAGCAGATGAGGTTGTCTTCCACGAGGCCAGCTGAAGTGGGGTATGCCCAAATGCTCAGCTCCTAACACCGGCCCCACAAACAGAAACAGAGAAGAGCATTTGGTGAGCAGGGAGAACGGCTCCTGGGCACTCCTACCGGCACCCGCCCTACCTGCTCATTGCCTACCTGCTTCTCCTTAGGTTTCAGCCTCATGCTGGGAGGGTCTAAAAGGAACGTGTCTGCTTTGAGGTCATGCTCAAAGAAGAAATGCACCTCTGCTTCTAAGGGGGTGACATTGAGGATGGTCAGCTTCTCGCCGTTGCTGGGATAGTGCAGCGCCTTGTACCTGGACCACAAAAGGGGAAAAAGCTGCAGAGAAGATGCCGGGACCATAGTTTTTTATCACACATCAAGGTAGGCACCATGCCCTGGCAGCAGGAGGCTATGCTGGAGGACCACGTGTCCAGAAAAGGGCAAGGAAGCTGGGGAGGGGTGTGGAGCCCCAGGCTGCTGGGGAGTGTCTGGGGGAGCTGGGGGTGTTGAGCCTGGAGAAGAGGAGGCTGAGGGGAGACCTTATTGCTGCCTACAACTGCCTGACAGGAGGGGGCATCCGGGGTGGATCAGGCTCTGCTCCCAGGGAATGGGTGATGGGATGAGGGGAAACGGCCTCAAGTTGTGCCAGGGCCGGGTTAGGGTGGACATTGGGAAAAATTCCTTCCCTGAAAGGGCTGTCAGGCCCTGGAAGGAACTGCCCAGGGAAGGGGTCGAGTCCCCATCCCTGGGGGTATTTAAAAGCTGGGCAGAGGAGGTGCTTAGGGCCAGGGTTTAGTGGTGGGCTGGCAGGGTTAGGGGAACGGTTGGGCTTGGGGATCTTAAAGGGCTTTTCCAACCTCAATGATTCTGTGATTCTATGACCGCTGTCTAACAAGCCAGCTAAGAAGAAGGATCGCTTTCAGGGGCACGTTACACGGTTCATCCTTGCATTACTTTGATGGCTGCCCCTATACTTGGTGCCTCCAATCCAGAAGCATGATGCTGCACAGGCCACTTAAATGAAGAGAGTTTTACAAACTATAAATTCAAAGGTGCCTGAAAAAATAAAAGTATGCCAGGCACATGGGTTCTTTTCCCCTTCTTTGTTGGGTTTCCTTCCCCGCAGGGTATAAAGAAATGCTTTTGAAAAGAGGTTTTAAAAATAGTTTAGCTTATCTCTTTCAAAAACTTCATGAGATTGCCTTGAATTTCATGGCTTAGCTCCAAGTCTCAGGGAAGGAAATAGAAAGGATTAATTCCCAAGACAAACGCTAAATTTAAAGAAATACCCCTTCTCTCAGGCGTGAAACAGAATTTGGAGTTAAAGGGTTAAAAAGGCAAACAGAAACCTGAGGCCATTCATCAGCTAAGGATCCTCTTTTGGTTTTTAAACTGTTTTGATTTAATTTCCTTGGGTTGTCAAAATACCACCAGCTCCCCAGAGCTCCCATGAAGACAAGAACTTAATTTCTAATATTAAAAAAAAAAACAAACAAAAAACCCCACCAATGTTAAAAATAGAAATCTGCCAGCAGCTGCAATGACAACTTTTTTAGGCAGACTTTATCCAGCAGTGAGGGTTGGGAAAATGTAAATCCCATTTTTATTCTTCCGCAGGTTCCCCCCCAGCACACACACTGGCAGGTCAAATCATAAAGCCTTACTAATATTATGGACTGCAGAATAACTGCTCCTTCACTCTACCTGTAGAGCTTACAGCACTTGAAAAAAAGCACTGTAAAGTTCATTTCATAGGTGGTGATGCTGAGACGAGGAGGGACACAAGTTGCCCCCCAAGTCACCTTCAGGCTGGAAGCAGCATGTGGCTCTGGCCACCAAGGCACCCACCAGGTAGGAAGATCATCTCTACCTCTCCCCAGCTCCTCTGAGGCTCATGTTTCCGTTATCTGCTCAAGTTCACACATCCATGGCCCTGTGTATCTCCCTGGTCTCTGCTGGGGCCTGCCCTGAATTGCGCCACCGGGACGGTGCATCTCCAAGCATAAGGCCCTGGAGATCCCACCCCATTGCCTCACTCTGAGCAGGCAGAGCATCAGGATGCTCACATGGGGTGGGGAGCACGTACCAGTCTCTTGACTTCCCACACAGCAGCGGTCCAAAGTGGAATACACCCGTGTTCATGACATACTGCTTGAAGATGATGTCATCATCCGCCTTGCTCTTCCTCCGGTGAGGAAACACCAACCTGCAGAGAGAAAACAGGGAATGAGGAGCTGTGAGATGTTCTAAGGAGCAAACCTGGTCAGAAAGCCATAACCCTTACTGAGGGAACCAGCACTGGTTCCCAGTTCCAAGCATGGGAAAAGATGCTGGGCTGCTCAGGCAGCACACTCTGCCCAAGCCAGGGGTACAAGGGACAGCCCTGGCTCTGAGTTTAGGGACAGGCAGCGTGGGAGGCTCCCAGGGGCTGGCCTTACCGTGGGTCCTGGCTGATGGTGGGATACAGGCAGGTGCCCCTGCAGTGCAGCTGGTACAGACGGTTTGTCCCCAGGACCTCAAAATGCAGCGTCTGATCAAACTGGCCCAGCACCATGGAGCTGAAATGGATCCTCAGTTCCACCTCACCACGGGCAGGCACTATCCACCGGCAGCTGCTCAGCCTGGTAATTAAAGAGGAAGCTTCAGACATTGCTAACGAGCAAATGAGACGAGGATGGAGGGTCATCGCCATCCCATGGAGGTACCAGCAGAGGGTCCCTGCAGAGCCAGGGATGATGGACCTCACTTGGTGAGCTGGCCATGGTGCAGAGGGCTCACCTCCTCCCTCACAGCTCACCTGACAGATCTCCCTGGGGATGGGACCGTGTCTGCACCACTTTGGTCCACCTTGGGGGAACGTGTAGGTGCTCCTGTGCCTGGTCCCTGGAGACCTCTCCTGCCCCGGCTGGAGCTCCGCTTCTCCCTTGCAGCCTCCCGGCTGCCCACGGCTTTCTCCTTCCTCGACTGGCTCCTGGTTGGGGTGATCTGCTGCTCCGACGTCTTTGCACCAAGGGGGGAGAGAGAAGGGAGAGAGGGGTGAGCCCTGCCCCGAGACATCCCCACCCTGGAAAGAAAGCCGCAGGTTAACAAACAGGAGAGAGAATAAATAAGCAGCCAGCATCTACTGGTTTCCTATCTTCCCAGGTCTTCTGTACTGGAGGTTGTTTTGCCTACAACACCTCCCCTTGCCCAGGACCCTCACTTCAAGGGAATTTGAGGGCTTTAGGTGATTTTTTTTTTTTTTTTTTTCTCCTCTCTCGTCTTACAGAGCTGCCCTATGTCTCTCTTGGACAGACAAGAGAGATGCCTGCAGACCCAGGACCCCATCGTGCCTTCGCTGCCCTTCCGCAGCGATCCTTCTCCATCCTCCCCTGCCACCATGCCCCCATCCAGCCTGGCCCCTGCACCTTCAGCGTGGGCATGATGGGAACATCCAGAAGAATTTCCGTATCCTTCTTTTCATCTTCTGCAGTGGCACCTTCTGGCACAACAAAGACAAAGTGCTTGAGGGCTTCTCCTGCCGCAGGGGCCATCCGCTTCTCCGGGTAGTGGATCACAGAGTAAAAAGCAGTTGGGGGAATGGGAGGCCCCGAGGGACCCAGTCCCAGGCAATCCAGTATCTACAGCGTAAGAGAAAACCCTGTTTATACTCCTGTCACCTTCATCCTCGCAGTCCTTCCTTAAAGGCACTGAGCTTTTGGCATTTTTTTTTTTATTTATATGGAGTATAGTGCTTTTTTATGCCCAGTGGGGGGACAGGACCTACACGTGGGACCTAGAATGAAACCTTTCCCTTGAGTGACCCAACTGAAGGAAACAATGACCACGAGTTGCCCTGGGACCATTTTTAATGATTTCCAGACTGGGAAACTCTCTGAACAGAAGGGTGTTTGAACAGAGAGCACTCCCTCTTCCCACCCGTCTGAGTGATGCTGAGAACCTCCCCAGCCACATGGCTGCTGCAAAACCACAGTGGAACATCATCGATGGCCTGGACAAGGCTCTGTGCCATTGTCACCTGTCAGGACACAACACACCAGGGCCCAGCCCACGGCAGGCTCAGCATCTGAGTCTTGCAGGGCTTTACCTGATCTGCTGCTGGCAGCTTGCTGCTCTCCAGGATCTCTCTAGTCACATCTTCGGAGCTCAGCACCTGGATGTCCAAGCAGGGCACCCCAACACCCTGGCCACTGGCTGACCCTTCTTCTGCACCTTCCCCTTCCAGCTGAGATAACTTGAAGTCCTCAAGAACCTTCAGTTTTTCCAGCCGCTCCTTCTCCAGCTGCTCCTTCTCCAGCCGCTCCTTCTCTAGCCGCTCCTGACGCTCCTTCTCTCTGTCCTTCCGGCTCCTGCGGCTGGATAAACGCTGGCGCTGGTCTTCTGCTTGGTGCCGCACCTCATCTTGGTTCAGAGGGGACAGCAGGACACCCTGAACCCTGTCCCAGGATGACAAAATATGCATGACACCCTTCTGTGATGCCTCATAGATCTTAAACCTCAGGGCTAAATTCTTTTCGTCATCACTCAGGGCCTCATCTTTGGTTTCTGCCTGTTCTGGGTCAGTGTGTTGTGCAGTCACTGCTGGGCAGGCATCCGTCAGGGGAACCTTGCTCTGCTTTTTCTTATCTTCCTTATCACCTGCAACAGGGTCTGGGTGCTCCTTTAGAGATCCCTTCTTGTCTACCCCTTCGGTGACATCCGACCGGTTGCTGGTGGACGCATTGGTGTTGCTGGTGGATGTGTTCATATTCTGGGCAGGAGGAGCAGGGGAAAAAAAAAAAGCAGCGAGCATTTCAAAGCACTGACTCAAAGACTGTAGGACAGCGATGATCTTTGCGATAGCACCCCAAGCCTCGTCCGAGACCTGTGCTAGGTGCTCTACAAAATCCCGATTCAGAACGGAGCTGGTACCCAATTTAGCTCAACTGAAACCAAATTCCCTGCTGCCAGTCTGATGAGTTGTCCCTGCAAACTAGCCAAGAAAGAGAACAGCTTCCCAAACCAAACAGGGAACTGAAGGCACCCCTCTTGACTCCTGTACAGTCCTCTGGGCTCGTTTCGTGCGCTGAGCATCCCTGTGCCTGGCTGACTCTTGGGGAAGTCTGGCTGCTGACAAATACCCAAGGCCTGGTGCTATCTCCTGCCAGCCATGTAGGAAGAGACACCACAGCCCTGACAGATCATGGCTCAGAGGTGTAAATCACATGCAGAGTGGGGAGGAACGCTGAGCTAAAGCTATCTTGGGCTTCACAGTCAATGTATGGAATTAGGTGGAGCCATGGCTCAAAGGCAACGTGGTCCTAGAAGACCAGCTCTCCTACAAACCCATGGGAAAACCCCTCTGGTGAAGCAGCAGCACGATCCAGCACCAGCTGCTGTTTCCCAGCCCAGCCCCATGTGTTATTCATGGCCCAGTACTCTCGCCAGCACAGCATGTGGCTGCTGGCTTCTCGGGGAATGGGACCACTCAACGGGAAGGTCCCGAGGGCTTCTACTCATGTCTGTAAACACAACCACCCACCTGCCTGACTCCAGGATGGCTTTTCTTCCCCGAAGCATTATCTTTGTCTTTTCCAAGCTCTCTCTTCCCCCGCTTAGACTTCTTCTTCAGCTCCTCTTCCTCCTTCAAGCGTTCTAACTCCCGCTGGTGCTTTTCTTCAAGCTCTCGAGCCAGCTGCTCCATCTCCCTTCAGCCAAACAGAAAACAGCCCTGGGAGTCACCACCAGAAATCTGGGCTCACTGCAATCTCAGCTGGTCATTCACTGACCCTGAGGCCAGGTAGAACCATTAAACCATCTCCATGGACTTCCCTCAACCTGGGGAGGCTGGGAACATCCAAACTGAGGAAAGTTGGGAGGGGACCTCCAGAGCCAGCCAAATCCTGGCTTTGCTGTCTAAATTGTACTGCTTCTCCAATCAAGTCCACCTGGTCACCTCCAGCACACTGCCAAAGACTCATCCACCATCTCTCCACACTGATGGCTGAAGCCCTCTCTTGATTTCCCAGCGTAAACCAGCTCGCAAATCACCAACACCTACTTATCCCCGCACCAATACTGGGCTTACCCAACCCTTCTTCCCTCTGGGCATAGCCTGCTCCTCAGTGAGAATAACTCTATCAATCAGAAAGCAAAGGCTGCAGTGACTCCCCTCCTGCAAAACAGGTTCCAAACAACCAGGTTCCCCCGCTGGAACCCAGCCATGACCATGGCAAACTCATGCTGCCTGTCCTGGAAAGCACAATCTGAAGCAGCCCTAGTGAGCTCCTCCCAAGGAAACAAACTTCAGCCAGGGCTGAAAGAAGCGCTGAAATATGTGCTGGCTTTAAGCAAGCTTTGACGACTGTGGTCAGTCTGTAGGACAACCCTGAGACATCAGCATTGCAAAGACTTCACCTATGGTAGGACTGGTGCCTCAACCAAGCCAGTCCAGCTGCACCTCACGCCAACCCACACCACAACCCCTTGGTGAAGAAGGGGGATGAAGATGATGAAAATCAACATAATTAACTTTGAGGCACTTAGAAGTACAGTGGCAAGGCAAGCATGGAGCCCAGCTCTCAGTGTTGGAGCTGGAGGGCTCACCACTAAAACGGAGATGTGTTCTCATCTCACCGGAGGGAGATCTTTCCTCTGTTGGGAACCAAGGAGATGGCATTGGCCATCCTTGTGCCGCTTGTAACAGACACTTTTGGCCTTTGCTCTATAACCCCTCTGAGCTCGACCGAGGTCTCTGGAGCAGGGAAACCCTTCAGAGACATTTCCCTGGGGAGTTACCCATGGAAGGCTTACAGACCTCTTCTTCCTCTCACGCTGGACTTGTCGGATATTGTTATTAAACTGAGTTTTCTGCTCCTCGGTGAGGGCATCATACTCGTCCTCATCCATCTCCCAGAGACGTGCTTTCTCCCTCCTGGCAGCGTCTTCCCGCTCCCGTCCTTCAGCACAGACCAGAGGAGAAACCATTGGAGACTGCAGGCAGAGCTGGTTGTTCTGGGTGAGCTGCGAGGATTCACAACTCTGTCCCGACCCAGCTTAGCCCCCTGCCAGGAGATACTGAGAAGCTCATATCCCTGCTCCAGAATTCAGACAATCCCCCAAGCTACTGCCCATCAGCGAGTTCCTATGCCTCGCCTGGCTCACACGCACCAGCGCTGGGGACAGTCGGCCGCTGCATAATTCCTGAGCCACAACAGCTCGCACTTGTGCCCAAGCTTTAACATTAGAGACTAAGCCTTACAGCCTCAGCTCTGCTGTAATTTAAGCAATCACGAGCTGAGTGCTGGCTATATTGAGACAGAAGGTGGCAGGATTAATAAAAACTTTTCTTGCAAGCTCTGTGGGTAACACAGATACACACGGATAAGGTTGAGGGCTGGAGAGAGATTTGAGAAGTATGGAGATGAAGAATCTTACCTTCCTGCTCTTTTGCAGCCATCTCCCGGGCCTTCAAAGAAGCATAATCCTGGAACAGGTTCACAAAATAGATATGAGGCCGATTTCTAACAGCTTTGAGCAGGCAGAGGAGAGCAGATGCTGTGCTGCGTGCAAAGAGGGTCTCCAGGCCATCGAACACCACTCCCTGGTAGCAGTCACTCAACTGCAAATGAAGTTGAAACAGAAGAGAAAAAGTCAGCTGCCGCGCGCGCCGGGCCCTCGGCTAGTCAGCGAACCCAGACATTGAAGGATACCATCACCATCATCGTTTCAAGCGCACCCACTCAGAGGAGCTCTGATCTTTCCCTGCACTCTGCCAACTTATGGCATCTGCAGCTTCACCCGAGGATCCCTGCGTGCTGCCCAGGACTCCTCCAACAGCAGACACAGACCTCCCTCCTCTCTGAGTCGTACCTCACTGCAAGTCCCTCTGTAGCAGGGACAGATCGTCTGGCCCCACCACACATACCTGCAGCCTTTCGGAGAGGATGGCCACCAGCAAGTCCTCGGGCAGCATGCAGCTCATGAA